TTTTTTAATAATGATTCAGTCAGTTTTGTTTTTGTTTTGTTTTTATTGCAGTTGTTGTTGTTGTTCTAGTAGCAGGGATCTAACTTGGGACCTTGCACTTGTGAGGCAGGTGGCAGAACCATGGAGCTAAATCCCTGGCCCTGATTCAGTCATTTTATTTTGATATATTTTTATGACTGTCCTATTTCATTCTTCATTATTTTTGTTAATTTCTTACTGTGCCCAATTTATACATTTAACTTTATCATAGTTATGTATACATAGGAAAACATCACATACATTTGGTACTATGTGAAGTTTTAGGCATCCATTGGAGTACTTGGGAGGTACTCCCTGGCATAAGGGGAGGCTATGTAGTGATGCCTAACAGCAATCATAACAGCTGGCCTGGATCCAAGTGGAAGGCCGATCCTGGGAGGGGTACAGAGTTCCTTACAGGCTGAGCCAGCAGGAAGAAGGGGACTGTGGGCTGGTGGGCAACAGTGTCGTCCTCAGAGGTTGTGTATTATATTTTGTTTACTATATATAGTAACACCATGAGTTAGGCGCCATGAGTTAGGTCCCCATTTTGCTGATGTGGAAACTGAGGCACTCTTTATATATTTATATAATGTCCCAAGCTCAAAGCTGGGAAGTATGGAAGCTGCAATGAAACACAGATTTGTTTGGTACCAGAAAGCCTGAACTCTTTCTCCACAGTTCTGCTCATTTCTTGACCTAACCCGCCCTTTCTCCCTGCAGACCTGGAGTCCAGGCTCCCTGGAAGTACACCCCCAAACAACACACATACTCACGCACGCGCACACACACAACACCACCCACTAACCTAGCCTGCACCTGGTAAGCTGGAAGGTGGCCAAGTCCATTAGCACCACCAAGCACAACACATATGTTATGGCCCCAATTATAGCCTTCACCTCCTGCCACAATGAAGGAGTAGGGACTGCGACAGGAATTGTGTGCACTCGGGTCTGAGGCCTCTGGAGCAATAACTACAAGATTACAAAGACATTAGCAAACGCCGGTGACGGCAGCTCTATTATAATGATAAATCTACAGCTTTATATAGAAATAATGAGACTGGGGGTAGGCGAGTGGGGGAGGGGAGAGCAGGGTTTTAGGCAAGTGAAGCTCTGGCTGAAGTGACAGTGGCAAGAACCTGGGGATGCCCGGGAGACCACCAGGGACTTTAGACATCCACACAGGAGAGGGATCAGCAGTGTCAAGGCAGCTGTGTCCAGGGGTGGCATGGGTACCATGAACTCCCTCCACTGCCTTCTCCAGCTGAGCTTCTTGAGCCAGCAGAAGACCGGAAGCCTCCAGCTCCCCTAGCAGGTCCCATTTGCCTGCTTCTTGTCCTCTGGCTGGTGCTGCATATTAGTGGCTAGGCTGCCCAGGCCTCCCTCCAGTTCAACCTGGGAGTAGAAGGCCACTGTCCCTTGTTGCTTATGATCTGCAATCAACCAAGAACTAGACTCCCGGGATGCTTACTTCTCCTTCACTAGCCTTGAAGCTCTGTGATCAGTGGCTGAAAGAGAACAAAAGTGTCAGGCTTTGCTACTTCAGCCCAAGTGCTGTGGCACAGACCTGCCTGGTTCCACATGCCTGGTTCCACTGCCTCTGCCTCTCCCATAGGAGTCCCATTCATAGCACTTATGCGACCACAGAGCAGCCTCCTGAGTGCCTCTCCTGCTCCTCCCGGGGGCCACTGACCCTCCTCTCTGGTCCAGACTGCTTGATTTACCTGAGTGGTTAGAAGTTACTTTGCTGCTTCAAAGCAATCCATCCACTTGAACCATGCATAGGCTGGGTCTCTTCTCCCCAAGCCCAGCTCTACCCATTTTCAAAACAGTACTGGAGCTTTTCCTCCAGGAAGCCTTCCCAGGTTAATCCCATTAAGTCCAGCTGTCTCCCGATTATCCTTTCCTTGTATATCAGTATATAATTTCAGTTGAATTAAGTAAGAATCAGTCATCTAAGAGTACACTGGGTTTTTACATCCAGACAAGAAGGAAGATACAAGAGAAAGTCAACTGTGGGCCGCAGACATGCCTGACACCTCCACTGGGGGACTAAAGGGCTTTGCTGGACAGACTATGATAGGGAAATACCGAGGGACACAGAGACTGCATCAGAGGGGTCGGTGCAAGGATTTCTGGGAGGCTTTGGAGGTAGACTGATTTGAATTGAGCAGAGGTGGGGATCAGACCTGCTTAACAGAGCCCTTGTGAGCAAAGGCAAGAGGTGGAATGCTATACATGTTGAGGGACCAGCCTGCTGCCCTAGAGGAGCTGCCATTCTGAACTCAGGTCCAACGTGTAACTCTGGAAACAAAATCAGGACACAGAAGAGAAGCGAGCTGGCTGTCAGGCTGTCGGCTGCACTCATCTGTTCCCCATCATAGTGGCTGCAGGATATCCTGCACACTGAACGCTCAGACATTCCCAGTGACTGTGAGTTGGGTCTCCCTGGAGCCCAAATAATTAAATTTTCACAGCCAGCCCTGCAAAACAGGTAAAAGGACCAGCCTCTTTGCAGCTCTTCCCCCTTCTTAACTTTAGTACTTGCTTGCCAGGGCTTGAGCTGAGCACTGAGGTTCTGGGGCCTGTGCTTGCTAGTGAGGCTGCAGGCTGAGGGGCACCAGGGGACTCACCAGAGGGGGAAATCTTTCCTCAGACTAACTACATGCAAGGCGGGTGTGTGAGCATGGTCCCATCTGCTCAACTCTGGAAGACCCCAGGCTGGACACCCTCTGTGTGTGGCTGGAGAGCACCCCCTTCCTCTTGGCCTCTCAGGTTATTTACATCCACCTTTCCCCACCTGGTTTACTTTCGCTCCTCTGTGAGACTCTCCTAGATGTCCTGCTCTCTGGGCTCCTGGGTCTGCATGCAGTAAAGAGTTATTCCGGCTTGCTTTGCCAGCGCCTGCACAGACACGACCCAGCCCATGGGTCGAAAAGGCTCCCAGCCCCCACCCCAGCCCCAGTGCCTGGTACAGTCTTCTTGGGAGGTGGAGAAGGGCTAGCACGACACCGAGGAGGATGAGGACGGCGATGATTTTTCTGGTGCCTTTTCTAAAGCTGGGCTGGGAATGTGCAGCTGGGACGCTAACCCAAAAGCCAGGATGTGGGACGTTATACCAGGTACGGAGTGCACTTGGGCATACACTGCCTTCTCCAGGGTGAGACTGTGCTCCTACTGGAGCTGAGGGCATAGGATACGAAGATGGGGACGCGGACAATGGGCAGAAAAGCCTCTGCTGCCTCCATAGCCCCGTCCCTCATCACCCTGGGCAATGAGCTACCTCTGCACCTGTATAGTCACACAATGAAGCTGCTGCCTTAGGAGACGACGCAGGCAGAGTGGAACCAGATGTAAACTTCAGGGTGATTTATGTGGCAGAGCTCCTGGTCCCAGGCTGGTGCACAGCTGCTGTGTGTCCCGCCCTGTCTGCCCACCCCGTCTGTCTGCAGGCCCTGCCAGCTGCTCAAGCTGTTCTTGGGGATGCCATTTCAGAAAAAGCAAAGGTGGGAGAGGCATGAGGACACTGGGCTGGTCAAAGTCAGTGCTAGCTATGAGAACAAGATGACCCACAGACCCTTCCCAGGGCAAAAGCAGAGCCCACCAAGCCTTTTCTCTTTGAATAAATCAAGATGCGTGCCCCCTCTGCAATCAACAAGGCTGATTTTCCAAGCATGTCTCCTTGAAAATTCACCAGAGATATTGAGTATGGGCTGTACCACGGCAGAGTCTACAGACAGAGTTGGGTCACCCCTCTGGCACAGGTATGGCTCAAGAAACATCCATGACAATCAGCACCCAAAACTCTAGATGTGAGGCCATCAGAGCTTGGTATAAACGTCCGTGTGGGGCTCTCAACTGCCTCAGTAATCTCAAAGGCAATACTAGCTGCCCCATGGAAGGTGGCACCTGGCCCCCTCAGCCTGGGGGACTGTGCATGCCAGCACAGCTAGGGCCTCTGCATTACACACTTGCTAGTTCTCAGCACCAAACCTGTCCTGTCTTCCCTTAAAAGCCAACTTGAACCTCGACTCCTTGAGACCTTTCCTGGTTAATTCTAGGTGACAGTGAAAGCCCAGGATCTGCCCCCAGGTATCAGCCAGTTCTCCTTTGAGCTGGTCTTGCCCACGTCCCACACAGCACTGAAGACAACACCTAACACCAAGGCTCTGGTATGTGCAGTCATCAGTGTTGTTCATTAAATGTTTGGAATTTTCCTTCCAGGCACGGGGTAGGATTGCTTTGCCCCTCTCTCCATGATATTAAGAGTTGTCATGTGTCTTGCTTTGCCTAATGAAATGTAAGTGGAAGTGACATGTGTCGTTTCTGCACAAAAAGGTTAAGAAACGGTGCGTGATTTGCCACATCCTCTCCCTCCCGATATTTAATTGTGGGTGCACACAGTGAGAGGGAGCCTCTGTCGGCTTTGATCCCTGGGTTATGAGGCGAGCGGCGCCCCTAGCCAAGCTGCAAAGTGCATGTGACATGGATGAGCAATAAACTTCATTTGTCTCAAGCCACACACTCCTGAGGTTGTTAGTTGCTGCAGCATAACCTGGTTCATCCTGATTGATACAGCGTGTCCTTGATCGCCCACTCCAAGGTTCTAGTTCACATCAATGCCCTCAGGAGATGATACCATCTGACTCAGTCTATGGGCCTGGCCCAATCTTTACCCAGAACCAGAGGAACACGTACCATAATTTTATAACCTGAGGCCTTGAAGGCTGAGAACCGTCCGCAAACTTACCATCGGGATCAAAAGATAAAAATGTACTTGCCTTCCCACTCACGTGGAGACTCTGCTACCCTCGATCCCAACTTGGGCAGAATGTAAAGACTTCCCCAGGTGCACCGGACCACTGGGGTCATTTCATTTCCTTCATCCTGAAGGGCAGAGGGCTTGGGAGCCGGAGGCATGTCCCACCCCACCCAGCACTGCAAACCCTCAGTCAGCCAAGGGGACAGAGCTGTACTCACACTGGTGGCATACTGGATGTCCTTCCAGATGGAGGTTTCCCGGGACAGGTCAGAGGCTTCAAAGAGGTTGTCTAGGATGACCTCCCCGATCATGTCGTGGCGCGAGAAGCGGTCGAAGTCAAAGACACTGAGATGCAGCTTGCGGTCAGCCAGCTCCTCATAGGGCACAGGGAAGTGGAAGTTCTCATCGAAGGTGGGGTTCAGGGTCTTGCGGTGCACCCGGGTCTGCAGCTTGCATTTGCGGTCGGGCAGGAGGTAGATCTTGACGTAAGGGTCAGAGCTTCCACAAAAGTCCTTGGCAGGGAGGTCAAAGGCTTTCAGGATGCGCACAATCAGGGTCTCGCTCTCATAGTCATAGCGTAGGCTGAAGTTGATCTTCCCACAGCTCTTGGCAGCCTCGGACTTGGCGTCGTCCCCGTCCACCGACTTCTGCTTGTAGAGCTCGGGCTTGATGCGGCCAATGCTGGTCGGCTGCTCTGCGGCTGGGGGCAGCTCATTGCCATAGTCTACGCTGGACACATGCATCTGCCGTGGCAGGTGGCGCTTGAAGGACGTGTGCCTGGCAGAGAGCAGGAGGGGCAGAGGGAGGGTGTCAAGGCTCAGGGAAGACCCGACCTTGGTGGCACTGGAACATCCTACCCCTTGTAAAGCCCCTTTTTCCTCCCCTTTTTTGACCCTACTTTTCCTGTGCATACATTTTTGTGCACAAGGTGGTTGGAAGCTTTAATATATGTAAAGTAGCTGGAATGGTGCCCGGTGTATAGCAAGCTCAATAAATGTTAACCATTGTAATCATTTTCCTGCTTTCTAAGTTTTTTTTTTCCTAGGAGGCATGACTCTGATTCCTCTGTTAATCCATGAGTCCCCTTGGGAGAAGGATCCTTCTCCATAAATCATCATCCATCATCGTCATCGTCATCACCCCCACGACCACCACCACTTACTCTTCGGCCAGCAGTAGAGTGAGGAAAAGTATAGGCTTTGGAGTCAGACTGCATTGCTCAAGTTTAGCTCTGCCACTTTCTAGATATGTGACCTTGGACGAGGTATTTAAATTCTCTATGCTATAAAAATAAGGATAATAAAAGTAATTGCATAGAATTGCTCTGATGGTGATATAAATTAATACATGTACAGTATGAGCTGTAGAATGCAAGAATTGAGCCAGGTATATAATAATCAGTATATAACTCTTAGTATCACATGGATTCTTTCATTGTTTCCTCACAATGGTTTGTAAGAGTCATTAGCTTTATTTTAAAAAACTTTTTTATTAGCTCTATTTTACAGTTGGGAGAACTTCCTTGAGGTTCAGGGGACGTGAGCCGCTTGCCTGAGGCCACCTCCCTCCCTGTGGCTGGAAACCGTGGCAGCCTGGAAGAGAATTTCAGGGACCCAGGAATCCACATGAGCCCTAAGTTTGGAGCATGCATTTTAGTTTTGAGTAAATACAGTGTCTTGTCCCTGCATGCGCCCCACCTTTTAAAGGTATTTCTTATTTTAAAGTAGGGTTTTTTTTTTGTCATTATGTGTTTGTTGTTAGTATTGTTTTGAATTAAAGGATGCCACAGACACCACTTCTGTCATTCAGGGAACTCTGAGAGGTTTGAAAGGAGTCCTCATTCTTAAGAAGGAGTCTCTTGCCTCATCTCCAGTGAACTGTGGTACACAGCTATGAGAGGCTTTACTAATATATCTCCAAACACATCATGCGCTTTCATTCCCCTGAGTCTTCCCATATTCTCTTCCAACCCTCCTCTCCACTTTTCTGTTCCAGCCACAGCTATCCCAGGTGGACACCACACACAGCACCCCACCCCAAAGGATCCCCTTTTGTGACATCTCTCCTGCCGCCCACCTCCTCTTTGATTGCCCACCGTGGGCCACACCATCTGATCTATTCTTCCACAAGCATGTGCTGTTATTTCTGGCCTCTGATCTTCCCAGGCTGAAATCTCATTAATGCACTGAATACAGAAATGCAGGCATGTGAGGCTTAAGAAGCGAGGGGCACCCTCTTCACCTGGTGGATGACGCTGGCTCTGTGGTCTGTCGCTGCAGCCGTGTATGGCGCATTATGTGCTCCTTTACTGACATCTGCACCTCGGCCGGGATATCTGGGGACGTGTGACTAATCTTCACGGCTGCCTCCAGGAAGCCCAGGGTGCTGGGGTCCTTCAGCTTGTCTGCCATGTTGCCTCTGGAGCTGGGGCTCTGGAAGGCCTCTAAGTGAGGGTTAGCAGAAGAGGGGCTGGAGGCCTCCTTGTTCCTCCAGGGTGTCCAGCACAGCTTCCAAAAGAGAAAAAGAAAAACTGCCACCAGGGCCACACCACACACAATAACTACCACGGCGAGAAGGCCAACAGAGGTGCCTGCCCAGCGAGTGCCAGACGGGCAGGGACAGAAACAGACAGAAGCAGGAGGAAGCAGGCAAAGGTGTTGGCAGAGGGTGCACACAGAAGGGACAAAGACGGAAGAAGAGAAAAGAGTGGTCATGAGAAAAACTGCCAAGTCAGAAGGAGAGCAATGACTTTTAGAGATGACTCTCAATTGAACATTTCGTAAAATACCTGTAGCCTTCTGTTTACCCCAGGCTGATTTCTCCAATATCACCGTCCCCGCAACAGCCACCAGTTTGAGGAGCACCTTACTGCCTCCTCTACTGCCCACTGGCATGTGTGCAGGGAAGGGAAAGTAATTTAAATGGCAGCCTAAGGAAACGTGCAAATTCGTGAAGCGTTCATATTTGGATGCTGTTTGAATTTCTATTAGAGCTGTTACTAAGGACAGGCCCATCAAAGTGGTTTCTGTGTGTAGCTCTCTTTCCCCGCGGGCTGTGAGGCCAACTCACTCTCTCTTCCTCCTTGTCTCACCCCCATCCTGCCCAAGGCTGGAGCTCAGCAAACAATGAATTGACTTCAAGGGAATGGGGTCACTCTCATATCCTTGAGTGCAGGGGTTGGCTTCTCAGAAGAAGAATATTTCTGAGTACCCCAGAGCTCAACCGATACTTGTATTAAGTTGGGATCTGACCTACACAGTACATGTCAAAGATAAATGCAAAATGCAAATGATTCTGATAGCTACCCTTTCCCATGTCAGTGGCTATTTGAGGGACCTGCTGTAAAGCTGGTTGTTTGAGCATTGCGGTTGATTTGGAGGTGAGTACCCCTACCCAGCCTGCTCCTGACCCAAAGGGACGCCCATGATCACAGCAGTACCATGCATGATGCCTCTCTTCGTGAGAAGTTATTCAGCAGACCTCCCACCAGACTTCCCTCCCCAAATCTGAGAATGAACCTTTGAGCCCAAGCCCTCTTTTTTTTTTTACTCTGAGTAGAGAAATCAGAAGGCTCTGAACCAATGGTAGCCTGCCAAGGTTTGCAAAAAGGTCATTTGTGGACAAGTCAGTAGAAGAATTTAGCTTGGCTTGCATAATGATTGAGAAGTTAGGAAAATTCTACAATCATCACCAACCCAGATTCTCTGGGAGAGGCCGATGATTTGGCACCGGGACCCATGACCGCACAGCAGGCACTGGTGACTCCCTTTATACGGGTGGGTCCTCGCCAGCTCAACCCACACTTTCCTGTTCCCTGCCAAGTCCCTGCAGGCTTGAGAGGTTGCAGCCTCGAGATTAGCCTGCTTCGATGCCTTCAAAATCTTAGGATTTAAAAGCGAGAAACAACCCCACAAAGTCTGAAGCCAGATTTTACTTTTACATATGGGAGCTGTGGCCCAGAGAAGGGACTTGCCTGGGATCACAGACTGGGCAGGCGCAGAACCTCCCCCAGGGTCTAGACATCCATAGTCCAGCCTGGCACTCTTTCCACTGTTCTGGTCTGTTTGTCTCAGATTAAACTATACACTCCCATAGGCTCTTGAACCCTATGTTTTCACATCTCTTGACTCATGAACTAACTTAGAAACTGGCACATGGGAATGAGTGAATGAATGAATGAATAGAAAATACAAGAATTAAGTGTAACCAACATTTCCTGAGTACTTTCCAGGTGCTGGGTCTGAGCTAGGCTTGGGAGACAAAAAAGACCAGGTTCCTCCTGTACACAGGCCCCTAGGAAAACCATCTCAGATCCAGAGGGGTCTGAGAAGGCAGTGGAACATCAGCCACCCTCTCTGGGGGGCAGCACTGTCTTTTAGATCCATTTCCAGTTACTTGTTTGGATCAGCGATCAGGTACCTCTAGGAATAGGGAATAAGAGCACAGTCTCTTCAAATCCCAAGCCTCCTATCAACACCCCTGCCCAGCCCCTACATGGAGACACTGGAGCCCTTTCCTGGCCCAAAAAACTGGGGCTAGTCATTGCCCTGGTGATCACCAGGGACCAGGAAAGCTGATTCTAAGGTACCTTCTAGGCAAAGGTCATCAGTATGGTGTGCCTGTGCCTCAAGGGCACAAGGGAAACATAAGATCATTTTAGTATTTATTCTCTTATATAAGAAATCAAAATTTTAATATATAGATTGATAGTAATAATGGCATTTTATTATTGGATTTGATCAATTTATTCAACTTTACTAGGTCCAAGGTTTAAAGTGCTTTTTTATGTGTTTACTTGCTTAATCCTTTCCATTGAATTGGTAAGATATTATCCTCATTTTGCAGGTGTGGAAATAGACAGAGAAGATCGCTCAGGTCATGCAGCTAGTAAGGAGTGGAGACAGGCTTTAACCCAGCCAGTCCAGCCCTGCAGCATCTTCTCTGTAGGGCATAGACCTATACATAACTTGGGGACACATAGACATGTACTGGAGATGATAACTCAATTTTTTTTCTGTTATGTATTCATAATCTAATTAGCTTAGAGACCATTTCTCCAAGCCCTTATCCTACCAGGCTCCCCAGGAAAACTATTACAAATATATGTACCCTTATTCTAAGTATCTGGCCATCTCCAGAGCCCTCACATCTGTTCTCAGTTACAGCTGTTCTGCATGCATTCTCCGCAATGGAGTCTCTTAAAACAAAAGGTATTTCTAGGGCCTTGCTTTCCTTTGATCATACATTTTACTTGCTCTCTTAATAATTAGAATTTTAATGAGAAGGGGGGGATGAGGGGAGTACATGGAGTGCATTTAAATGTTCAGTCTGACAAAAAAAAACAAAAACAAAAAACAAAACAACCTGAATTTATAAATGAAAAAAGAGATGGAGGAATGGTAGGCCAGGGAATACGCTTTTTTCTCAGTATGATTGCTATTTCTATTGCTTCTCCACATGACCCCCAGCTGTTGCTCCCTTGGAGCTGTGATTAGGGGAGGTATAGGGTGTTATTAGGAATCAGCACCCAGCACTCAATACTGGTTATATAAAGCCAGGAGGCCCATCCTGTGCCTGGCAAGTCTTCTTCCAGGACTAGGAGAGCCTGGGCTTTGACTTCTCAGGGGCAGTCAAGGAGAGGACAATTAGATCCTGCACACCAAGGGACATCCCACCCACGCAGGGACACGAGGTAGTAACCAAGTCAGTACAAGCAGAATCAGGCTGGAGTGGAGGTTAGTGTAGAGGATTTAACCCCTTTAAAAGTCACTGTTTGTGGCCCACAGCTCAGACAGGCTTCGTCCCATGGTGAGTTGTCCGATTTCTGTCACTTCAACAGATACCCGAGAAAAATGATTTATAAAAAGAAAAGGTTTATTTTAGCTCACAGTGTTGGAGGTTTCAGTCCATGACTGGTTGGTCCTGTAGTTTTGGGTCACACAGCACCTCATGGTGGAAGCACGCAGGAGAACGAAAGTGCTTACCTCATAAGCAGGAAGTGAAAGAGAGAGGAGAAAGGAGGTGGGGCCCTGCTGTTCCCCCCAGGTGAAGCCCTCAATGACTGAAGACCCCCCCCCCAGGTCCCACCTCTGAGAGGTTTCTCCACCACCAATGCCACCACTCTGGGAAACAGACTTTCAGCGCATGGCCTCTGGAGACATTCCAGATCCAATTTATAGCACCTGGTCCAAGTGCGCTGAAGCTGGGAAGGGATGGAAGTTCGCATAACTGCCTACAGGCTGTGCACAAGTCTCGGTCCCTAAGATGTGTGCCTTTCTACCCTAAGCTTTTAGGGCTAATCTATCAGGACAAAATTGTCCCCTAGGAAGTCATAGGTGTACAAATAACACCTTCAAGACACCTTTTCTATTCACATCTTGTTTGAACTTCGGCCCCCAGAGGCAGATAGAGCTCTGATGGGTAATTCTGTCACCTTCTGGTCCTGATCCAGTTCTCATCATAAGTGTACTATTCACAAGCCTCAAAACCAGACAGATACATCCCTCCAGCACTGGGAAGGAGAAAGTGCTTCCTTGGTATTTGTATTCTTTCTCTGAATCTTCTTGCTTATTTACCCTTCAGCCTAGAGAGAAGGAAGTGAAAAAGGATTCATTCAGCATCCATCTCCAATAGCTTTAAGCTGTGTGACTCTGGAAAACTATGTAGTCTACCTCAGCCTTAATTTCCTCATCCATTAAAATGGGAATAATAATTGTGTTTGCCTCATAGGGTCATTGTAAAGTTGAAATGAGATCAAAGGACTACACCTAGAAGGTAGTTAGCCATATACAGATACTAGCTATTTTTATTAGAATGACCTATGCTCAATCTAGTTTTAAATATCCTTTAGTTTTAAATTTTTTCAGTGATCAGAGCACCTGCGAGCTGTGAATACTAGTCAAGATAACTGTAACCTTATCATGACAAACCAAGAGCAGTCTTACTAGTAGAAAAAATATAATTACTTCATAGATAGCCAGTTGTCTCTGTATTTTGAGACATAATATATACTATGTGAAAGATCACACACCTCCAAGATTTTCTGTTGATATTCATTTGCTTGCTACTGCCCTGGTTGTGTTGTTAGCATCACTACTCAGCTGGTGAGCAAGTACAAGTTCCAAAGAGGTAAGAAGAAAATCATGGAAGGAGAATCGACAATTGAGAAATCCTATGCTCTAGCAAAGCTTTCTTGGAAATTGAAGGAAATAAGTTCATGAGTTCTATTAGTCATGAAACATCTTTACTCAGGTTACCAGAGACACTCTCGTAGCTCGTAGGCACCTGACTTGGGTAACTACAGTGGCCAATGGGAAAGAGTCCTTTCAAAAATTCTGAAGAGCTATGGAATTAGGCTTTGGAGACCTACATCAGAGATAAGGCACTGTACAGGTGTCCGTGGCTTTTACCCCTGGCTCAGGTTGGACTTCACAGTGCTCAGAAACCAGGCAGACATCTCAGGTGGACATCAGGCTAGATTAACCGCAGCGCCCATTCCAACCACTTTGCCTTCTCACTGTATGACCTGTGGCAAGTCGTCTAGCCTCTCCAAATCTTGGCTTCCTCCTTTACTTAGTGAGGATTCTATATTCTTAGGATCATTGTAAGTATTACATAAACTATGACTTTGAGCAGAGATTCTGGTCCAGGATGAATGCCCCAAAATATAAGCTGCTATTGTTCTTCATGATTTTCCTTTTTGGTGGAATTTAATAGTTCACTGGGTTCAGAAAAACCCAAAGCTAGGCCTCTGAGCCACACAGAAAGCCAGATCAGAAGGCCAAGCACCTGAGGGACCCCAGCCCCTATTATCTCCCAGGAAGTCAAGATTCCCCTGAAGGCCATCAGGGTAGGACCTGCTTGTCACCTTAAATGAGACTGGCAGGGTGATGGCCCATGGCCTCCTTTCTCTTCTGGAAAATGCTAGGTCATAAGTGAGCAGCCCAGGGCTTTCTTATCTGCCCCACTGACACTTCTTCAAAGCCAGAGCTCTGGAGCCCTCTCCCCTTTTCCCTACCCACAGTGTTAGGATTCATCAGCAGCTCTCATCGCTTCCTATTGTTCCCATTTTCTTTAATGGGCTCCCGTGTCAGGAAAATCCATTTTGTAACAGTAACAGGCATTCTCGCTAACACATTGTAATTGAAAAGATAAACTGGGGAGAGAAATTGAAAAGACAGGACCATTTTCTCTGCTCACCCCAATGCCACCACAGTTAGAGAAGTCTGGCCGCAGGGCCTGGGGTTGCTGGTGGACACTCAGAAAAAGAAGAGCTCGGGCTACGCAGATCGGGAGCTGCCTCAGCCTAGCTCTGGTTGAGACACAGCTGGAGTCACAGGCAAAGCACAGTCCAGGGACCAGGCAGCAAGTGATGCAGAGGCCCAAGCGCATGGGAGAAACAGCATTTAGCCCAGGAAGGGAAGAGACTCTGGACAGAACCATTAGAATTAACACTAATGATATTGTTCGCTATTTATTTCAACATGGTGAGCACTATGACCTTTATGTCATCTCATTTCATCTTTCCAGCCTCCCACAGAAATTGGTTTCCACTTTTCAAAGATAAACTAAATGTAGAGATAGAAGTTAACTAAGTAATTTGTTCAAAGGTACGGTGAATTAAGCAGAAGAGCTGGGGTTTGAATCTAGGACTTGCTGATGCCAAAGTCCAGGCTCTTGAACCAGGCATCTCAGGTGACTGGAGGTGGAGAAGAAGAGCTACAGTCAAGGGCTGGGCAGAGGAGCTGGAGAGTCGCTTCTGAGCTGTAACCAGGAAAAGGTGGGGTGCCCTCAACTCTTTGGCCTGACTCTGAGCTCATGCACAGTTCTGCAAACTTGGACTATGAGCCACCTTTCTGCTTCTTCCCTGCAAAGTACATGTTGCGGGTTACCTGCGAGCCACCAGGCAAATAAGCAGTAGCACCTGAAAAGTCCCAACCAGAAATGTAACTGAGGAGTGTGTGTGTGTGTGTGTGTGTGTGTGTGTGTGTGTGTGTGTGTGTGTGTGTGTGAAGCAGGCACTATTCTGTAGTGAGGCTCATAGACACGGGCCATTAATAATAAGCTCTGCTGTGGCTTGTAAATTTATTTGGCAAATTGAATGTAATTAAAATTCAGGGTTGGGGAAGGGGAGCAGAGGGCCATTGCTTCTTTTCCTTCTTTAGAGATCCAGGCCCAGTTACCGATGGGGATAATTAGCAGAGTCCAAACACAGAAGGAATTAATGCTCCTGAAAAAGCTGTGATGAGGAGAGACAGTGCTGAGCTAATTATGGCCACACCAAGCTTTATGACTGGGTGCCTGCTTCCACCATCATTAGGGGATTCAGAGATAAATCAGAGACTAATGTAGAGTATTATAGCTAGCAGAGCATTGGCACTAATTTAGCAATTATTAGTATTATGATTTTGGCAGATGGTAACTGTACCTCTCTGCCTGGCTGGTCAGGGAATGTGGCCTCTCTAAGTGGGGAATTAAGGCTGTAGCAATGGAGGCGATGGGCAGACAGAACACCAGAAAGATCCTTTTCCCTCTGTGCTCTTCTCCCTTTTTGTACTAAAAACTGATGAGAGGAGAGAATTGTGTGGGTCCTTGAAAAACAAGAACAAGTTCAGAACTCCTGAGAGATAAGGCAGGGATGAGGCATCCTTGTTTGCTTCTGCTGTCAGAGACCCCTCCGAGTGCAGCTCCTAAAGTTAATCCAGTCTTTAGAGGTGATTTTTCCTGTGTAGGACTGGCAAGAGTGCCACCTAGCTCATTCAGGATATTCTCTTAATATGCTTTCTCCAATTGTAGAGAGCTCTACACAGACCCTAAGGAAAGCTAGCCTGATCCAGTTGCCTCAGCCTCAGGCCTAATTATTTGCATCCACATATTTTCCCCCCCAAACTCTGGACAGGGAAGACAAAGTAAAGTTGTAGCCATTGGGAGAGAACACATCTTTGGTACAGAGCTTGGAGGGATGAAGCGTACTGGATCTTTTGTCCCCCACCATCAGAGGAAGAACACTCGATCTCTGAATCTGAGAGCTCTAGAACTTCTACATATTGGACCTTGCTCCAAGAATCCTAAAGCTAAAAACCCAGTAGATTCAGAATGACACCCCATTGTGTTCTTCAGGACCCTGCATCGCCCCTTTGCTCAAAGAAGGCAAGATCTGCAGGATTCCTTCGTTTTGGAAAAAGGTGAGTGGTTGGTTATTCGGGTGTAGACACAGGACTCTGTTTTAATGAAATGTTGTGCATTTTAATTTGCCATTGCACACAGAAAAAAAAATTCTCTGTGTTGTGAAAGGCCAACTTCAAAGCTGAAGCATAGATTGTCTCCAGAGTCATTAGCAAAGTGAGCAAACATCACATACATCTCTTGGTCACAGGTAAGCTGGGAAAAACAGCTTCTTCCTGCCTATCGGGTTAAGGGCAGGGCAGCTTGGGTCTGCTTTTGGGTTCCTGCATTTTCTGCAACATCTCTGGGTCTCTGCTTACTAGCTCAGCCCAGAGCTCACTCTTCCCACACCCAGCATCTGCAATATGGCCTGTGGGGAAAGTTCATTCACCTCCAAGAGGCAAATGACAAATGAAAGGTAGAGAATCATCCATCAGTGTTGGGGGTGGGTATGTATTAAGGAGGAAACCAGACCCTTTGCCTTTAGAGTTTTTTAAAGAAAATGGAAATTTTTCTTTTATTTGGGGCAGTTTGGGTATGGATGTTTCCAAACCAGGGTCTGACAGACAGATTTCTGGTGCAATTCCTAGCATAGATCTTGGCACTGAGAGGGTCTCAGTAAAAGATAGTGGAGTCTGAATCTCAGGTGTTACTAGAAATCCCACATGCTAGCATCTTAGAACAGAAGGAAAACATAAAATGGTAAAAGGAGCCGAGCACACTCTACTCACTTGTGTTTTTCATAAAACTGCAGAAGAATTTCTCTGGCTAGGGAATCTGGATTCTCTAGACACTGGCTCTGGGATGTAGGGAATAGACTGGGAGGTAGGATTCTGGGGCCGTGAACTTCATGACACCTCCGCAGACCCTGTACTCACTTAAATCTGGAGGTCTCAAAGCCACTCTTCAACCCCTTTCTTTTGCTCTGATCCAGAGTCTCCTTCGGTCTGCCTCTCCTATCCCTTTCAGCTTCCCAGCTTGGCCCCTTAGGCTTCCTGGGGCTTGTGACTCAGCAGTCAAAGTTAAAGTTCCCCAGGGCTGACAACTCAAACTTGCCTTCTGAATCAGCCTGCAGGAAACCATACTGATTCATCTGGCCTTGCTGGCTCTCAACCCTCAGACTTCTCTCACCCTCAACCTGGTCACTCAGGCACCTGTCATTGTGGACTAAAAGGCATCCTTCTGGAGTCCTTCAGGGCTTTTCTCCACTGTGAGGGTTTACGGCACAGACACCCCCAAGCCCTCATCCCATGGTCAGTGTTTCTGCCCTGGACAGAGAAGGAGGAGCAGCTCTCAGGCGGAACTCGACAGGTGTGTCTGCACCCTCTGGGCTCTGAAAGCTGGGACCAGCATTAAGGCCCCACTGCAGATGGTCCATTGGAGGAAAAGGCTTCAGAAGGAAGCTAGGGAACAGGAGGAGAGAAAAAGTGAAGTCCCCGGCTTAGGGAAAATTTCTGGTGAGTGTACGCAGTTGAGCGGTGAAGAAAGAGATGGCACCAGAGAACCAGAGACTAATAATTTTTGCTGGGCCCCATTGTTTCTGAGAACATCCAAGAAGGAGAACCAGCCTCACCAACTTTCATCACTGTACCACCCTCTTTAA